TACCTATCTTCGAGATCTAATTTTGCTGTGCACAAAGAATATAAAATTCTATTTCCAAGGTAAAGCATATACACAAATCGATGGAGTGGCAATGGGAAGCCCTCTCGGACCTGTTTTAGCAAACATATTCATGGGAATGATAGAAAGGCAAGTGAGTCACTTCATCGATGATATTACACTTTACAAACGATATGTCGACGATATTCTTGTCATATTACCACATTCTACAGACATTAATGAAATCAATGATTTATTTAATGCGATTCACCCGAATCTGAAAGTCACTTATTAGGAAGAAAAGAATAATGAACTAGCCTTCCTCGATATCCTGCTTCATCGCCGTCCAGACGGATCAATCAGACGAAAAGTACACCGCAAACCCACCTGGTCGGGACAGTACCTTCACTTCACTAGTTTCTGCCCCATACAATATAAAAGTTCTGTTGTCAAAACTTTGTTCGCTCGAGCAAGCAGAATCTGCACTGCTTATACATTGAACGACGAATTCAAGCTTATTACTGACACACTTAAATCAAACGGATATCCCGAAACGTTTATTGGTCATCAGAACACAACTACGATGAAGCTGATAGCAACTGATGTACCAAAGAAACCAGTGTACCTACAGTTACCTTTCAGAGGTGATCATTGCATGAAAATTACAACCAAACAGACTGCAGCTGCAATAAAAAGACCTTCAATGTAGCTAATCTGAGGCTTATCACAACAACCCAATCGATCTCAGTTACCCCAATCAAGTCTCCAAGACCGATTCAGTCCAAATCCCACTTATTTACCAATTCCCATGTAACTGCGCAGAAAGTTACTTAGGGAGGACAGACCGCCGATTGGAAGACAGGATAGGGGAACATATTCCAAAATGGATAATCAAATCCATGTTACATCAACCTAGCTCATCATCTCAAGATCGATCAAGAAACCCAGCCTCATCCATTGCAAAACATCTAATGATGAGTGGTCATCAAACTGACCCAAAATCAGCCTTTAGAGTTGTGACATGTAATCGAAACACACACACACACTGAAACTACTTGAAGCTATCTTGATTGGTCAGAAAAGTCCAACTTTATGTGTTCAAAAACAACTAACTGTATGTTGACCTTTGTTTACCATGGTTCTTCTAGTGAGTGAATGTCATGCTAAATAAGAAATTTTGACCTTATCTTCAAAACTGTTGTATTTACACAAATAACATGTTGCTTGTAGTATGTGACTGACGAGAAAGCACGAAATGGTACCACTATCTCACAAAATATGTCTTCTTATTTCTCTATTCAAAAGTTTATGTAAAGAAATAAGGTTATTCATCAGATTATGTGTGACCATGAATGAGATTGAGAATTTTTAAAGCAAGCTAGAAAATTGTTAAAATCAGAATTGCAAAAGAATAATCAGAAGCTCATGAAATTTTTAATGGTCTAGAATCTGACTTCATTATTATTAGATAAATGATTGAATAATCCAATCCACCTCATGTCATTCATTCTTAGGTGAACCGGTTTGTGCTACGGTGGTAATTAATAGCCAAATACCGACTGAATTGAATATTTTATTTTATACATTCATTCATTCAACTAGTAGAAATGAGGATTAAAAGCGGAAAAGCAAAAAGAAACGAAATGGAGAAGGTCCGTCGGAAAATTCCATGTGTTGAGGTGCGACTAAGTGTATTCATAGTCAGAATGAAGATTGTTAAGTTACACGTTTGAAATCATGAATCGATCAATGTTAGATCACCATTAGAGGAAACCTGGAAGCACTGAAAGATGGCCGTTTCTTCCTGGTATGGAACTGACTCATGAGCAATGCACATCCACGACTCCTGCACCGCTGAAGATCCAACAAACCCAGGACCTTCGGAACTGCTCTTGAAAGCCTAACCACTGAGCCAGTATCTAACGATGTTAATGTCTAACTTTGGTCAATTTGCGGTCTTGTGCAACCTCATACACTGTCTTCCGTAGTTACAGGTTGAGCTTTACTTGGCACGACTTTCCATAAGAACTCGGAGAAGACTGCTCATGGAGCTAGACACTAGGCTAAATATGAGATAAGCGAAAAAAAACAATAAACATACATACTGAAGTAAGAATAACCAAGATTATAAGCATATAATTAACAAGGTTAACAAGGCATATGAAAAATGATTTGAGAAGAATAGATTAACCAACTCGTTCAAAAGTTAGAACAAACCATGTATGGCTCAACATAATAAGACACACCACAGATTTCTAGTAGAAGTATTCTTGAAAATTTTCCTGGTTTCTGAAGGTGTTTTTAAGAAATTATTATTGTCTTCTAACGATCGACAGAAGGCAACTACTACTACTACTACTACTACTACTACTACTACTACTACTACTACTACTACTACTACTACTACTACTACTACTACTACTACTACTACTACTACTACTACTACTACTGTGGTGCTGTGGTGCGAACTACTTATAAGTAGTATATAGCGTGAGTGTCAACGTAAAGTCTGGTAGCATAATATGGGGGGAAGATCAAGAAAGGAAGAGTCAGAAAACAATGGAATTTGTATGAAACGCATGAAGAGTGACAATGGATTGATGTTTGGCAACAGGAACAGTCCAGTTCCATAGGATGAACTGATCCTTTACAAATGAACGATTTACGATATGGTTTTCCGATTTTACTGAGTAACTCTGTAATTTTCGTTAAATACAATTCGGTTGCCTCCACCTGTGTTCTCATTCACTACATTTGGTGTCGCTGCCTACGCAAAGGATGAAGATTCCATGGCCGAAGGAGTTTGAAGACGGGGATGTGCGGGGCTTCCTGAAGGAGTTTGAGGCCGTGGCGAAGCTGGTGGTTTTTTTTTTTTTTTTTTTTTTTTTTTTTTTGCTGGGGACGCTGCTGAGAGGAAGGGCGAAGGCCGTATATGACAGCTTGGACGGTGCTGGCGGGAAGACGCCATGGGAGGCGGTCGTTGAGCGGCTGATGACCGAGTTCGACAGCCCGGTGGACAGGGAGGAGGCGTTGCGGAAGTTCCGGTTGGCGAGGCTGTCGGCTGATGGTGACCCGCTGGTGCTCGCTGTGGAACTCAAAAGGTTGCTGCGCCGTGCGTTGCCGAATATCGATGAGGAGTCGGAGGCACAATTGTTGGCGTCGCAATTTATTGAGAGTGTGCCTGCCGCTGTGTCCCAGCAGCTGAGATTAGTAAATGCAGCACAACCTATGGACATCGGTGAACTGGCGAAGGTGACTCGTCAGCTGATGACACGAACAGTAGCTCCGGTCGGGTGCGAAAAGCAGGAGATAAATACTTTCGAGAAGAAGATTGAGGAGTTAGAGCGTGAGATAGCAGCATTACGAGTAAATCATAAAAGGAACGATAAATGTTACGCTTGTGGAGAGGCAGGACATTGGAAGATAAACTGTCCAAGAAGACGACGACGACGATATTTTAAACATTATAACGTGTTTTCTTTCCACCCTAGGAATTGGGAGGTTCTTGCACTAGTAGATAGAGGGGCAATTTATGCCAGAGTGTACATAAATGAACGGGAGTTAGTGTGTTTGATTGATACAGGGGCAGCTATATCGTTAATAAGCAAAGAGCAATGTAAGACAATTAAACCATGTACATTAGCTGTCCACACCATAGGAGGGCATATGCTAGAGGTGTTTGGGGTATCTAACAGTATTGTAAAAATGAGTGGAGCTGAGATAAATTTTCCGTTCGTGGTAACCACAAGCTTATCGAGACCGATATTAGGAGCAGATTTCCTAAGAGAGGTAAAAGCAATAATTGACTTGAGAAGCGGGAAAATGGTCACAAAGTACGGTTCATTGCCAATACATGAAAGTAGCGAAGTGGCTGAAATAAGGATGGCAACGGACGTCTCGACCAAGAAACCTAACGTTAACGAGTTATGCGCAAAGTATGCGAAACTGTTCACTGGAGATGGGGAGCCGTATGGATTTTGTGACAAAGTAAAACATGAAATTCCTATAAAGAACGACCGAGTAAATATATTTACAACACGTCGTGTCCCAGTGCATTTAGAGGCCGAGGTAAATCGACAGGTCCAGGAAATGTTGAAGGAAGGTATAATTGAGGAAGCAGACAGGCCGTATAGCTCACCGGTACTCTTGGTAAAGAAACCCAATGGAAAGTATAGATTTTGCGTCGACTTTAGAGAACTGAATAATATAACAGACCTGAGACCGTGCGCAATGCCAACAGTAGTAGAAACATTAGATCGATTACAGAATGCCACGGTGTTTACAGTGCTGGATTTACGGTCAGGTTATTGGCAACTACCTATAAAAGATAGCGATCGCAAAAAGACAGCATTTACTATTCGGGATAAACAGTATCAATTTAAAAGAATGCCGTTCGGGTTGGCTGGTGCACCGTTCACGTTCAGAAGATTGATGACGCTGCTGCTTAAGAATCTAGATAATGTTGAGGTATATGGCGACGATGTAGTTGTATACAGCCTGACGGAAACAGATCACGTCAAGCATGTGGAAGCGGTCTTAAAGCGAATTGACGAATTTGGGCTTCGAATTAATAAGGAAAAGTCGCAGATAGCGAAAAACAGCGTCATATTGTTGGGACATAAAGTGGGAAACGGAGAAATAAAGCCATTACCAGAGAAAATTCTTACCATAAAAAATATTGCAGTACCTAATTCGAAAAGGAAGTTGAGACAGTTCCTGGGAAGAGCGGCGTTCTATAGTCGGTTTGTCAAGAATTTCAACGAAATAGCAGCGCCCTTATATAAGTTGCTGAGCAACACCAAGTTTACATGGACTGAGGCTGCCGAACAAACGTTCAACCGAATCAAAAACATGCTAGACGATCGTCAGATGACGCTGCGACTGCCTGAAACCGGTAAACTGTTTACAGTGGCCACAGATGCAAGTGATCATGGTATAGGTGCGGTATTGAGTCAGGCTGATAGAGTGGTGGAATACGCAAGTCGCGTTCTCACACCCGCCGAACAGAAGTATTCAACGATCGAGAAGGAATGCCTAGCAATCGTGTGGGCAGTAGAGAAATGGAGACCGTACCTTTTAGGTAGACGATTTCACATCGAGACGGATCATAAGCCCCTACAATGGTTGAAAACAGCAAAAGACCCTCGGGGGAAGTTGGCTCGATGGATGCTACGTCTGCAGGAGTATGATTTCAGCATCGGACATGTGCCAGGGGAGGAAAATGTAATGGCAGATTATTTGTCAAGACCGGACACCGAAGCCGAACTTCCAGAGATAGCGTGTGCAGTTAACGGCCTAGAGGGAGACCCCCTAGAACTCGTCCGACATCAGAAAGCCGACCCTAACCTTCGGGAGGTAATCAGAGTGATAAAAGAGGGAGAAGATGTTGACAAGAGTAGAACAGATAAAGAATTAACAGTGTTGCTGAGGCAGAAGGAGAGACTGAGAGTGAACGGATACGGAGCCTTGACCTGGCGGGATGATGACGAGAATTGGGTAGCAATAATCCCAAAAGATCTGCGCCAGGAGATGATTCGTGAATGTCACCAGGTAGCGCATACAGGTATTGCACGGACAACTGATTTGCTGCGACAAAGTGCGTACTGGCCAGGTATGAGAGACGATGTTGCACGATATGTATTAGCGTGCCAGCGATGTCAACTAATGAAAGGAGATCGATGCATACGACCGCCATTGCAGTCAATTCCAGTAACAGCAGTTGGTGATTTGTGGTCAGTAGATGTTATGGGACCGTTCCCGCAGACGACAAGTGGTAACCAGTACCTGCTGGTGATGACTGAGCATGCCACAAGATGGGTAAATGCCGTGCCGATGGCGGACCAACGTGCAAGGACGGTGACGGAAGCGGTAATGCGGCACATTGTGGCGGACCATGGGATACCAAAGATAATATTAACCGATCAAGGTCCCTGTTTCGAGAGTGATGAGTTCAAGTCCCGTCTAAAGCAGTTAGGTATCAAGAGAGACCGAACAACGCCGTATCATCCACAGACGAATGGGTTAACGGAAAGGAATAACCGAACGCTAAAGGAATGGCTAGCATCTAAAGGGGGTGACTGGGAGAAAGAATTACCATTAATCTTGCTGGCACATCGTGCCTCGGCACAGGGAACAACCAGGAAGTCACCGTTCCAGCTGATGTACGGCAGACGGCCGAGACTACCAACGCATGATAAAACCTGGCCGCAACAACAGAGATGGAATACAACAAGATTGAGAACAGAGCGGAGACAAGCAATCAGGAATGTGAGAGAGAAACAAACATCAGACATGGAAAAGTCAGAACAGGAGAGAAAGAACTGGAGATTGTTTGAAGTGGGAGATCAGGTGAAGTGTAGAGAACGGAAATATACCACAGGAAGAGGGCCAGGGTCAGGTAAGCTGATCCCGAAGTGGGAGGGACCGTACGTAGTAACCGAGAGGCGCGGCGCAGTGTATACGATCCAGAAAGGAAACAAACAGAAACGCGTGAATGCCAGTGAACTCCAAAGGTGGTTCCAAGTGCGCCAAGAGGGCGAGCCACAAACACTGATGAAGAAGACGGCTGTACGGAGATCAGAAAGACTGCGACGACAGCTTATTAAAAGGGGGGACGAGTGTGGTGCTGAGGTGCGAACTACTTATAAGTAGTATATAGCGTGAGTGTCAACGTAAAGTCTGGTAGCATAATATGGGGGGAAGATCAAGAAAGGAAGAGTCAGAAAACAATGGAATTTGTATGAAACGCATGAAGAGTGACAATGGATTGATGTTTGGCAACAGGAACAGTCCAGTTCCATAGGATGAACTGATCCTTTGCAAATGAACGATTTACGATATGGTTTTCCGATTTTACTGAGTAACTCTGTAATTTTCGTTAAATAC